AAGGTGCACAGGTACATGCACACACCTGCCATTCCAGCTACATCTCGCACGCCCACCTGAGCACAGGCACACGTTCAGGCACACACACCCACTTGACACAGCCCACACAGTCCCACTAAGGCACTTCTTGGGCCTTTTTCTCAGACCCACTCTACTGCAGAGGGTGGCCAGCAGCAGCTCCCGGCTGCCTCGGCTCCAGCTTCCCGCCACGGGAGGCACTAACTACAGCTAAGAGCAGAATGAAGTCAGGGAATTTCCACCTCTTCCGCCACAGGCAGGCCTCTCACAGCTGCTATGTCTCCTCAGAAGCCCCAGCTTCCCTGAGCGGGGCCCCGGTGGTACCAGCTTCCACTGGGTGATCCTGCCTCTTCCCTCTGTCTCTGCAGCCCCAGGTGGTGGGAGGTCCTACGGGTGCTGGTCTCAGTCATCTCTCACACTATCCCATCTGGATTCCCAGCTCCTCCATCTCTTTTGTGACCAATCCCTTGCATTCAATTCCCCCTGCTCAATAGCAAGGGTGCTGTCTTCCTGGTCAGACCCTGAATGATAAAAACAGTATCATCACTAGGAATGCCCCTGCCATCGGTGGGCTGAGTATTAATACTCCTGAGTAACAGTCACTCAGCCGGGGCACAAGCCCACAGCATCCGCCTCCAGGTTCACACCCTGCTCGACACACCCCTCACTTCTGCATTGCTCTCTCAGATCTGACCTCCTACCTACCACACACAGCCAGAGGTACTGAGATGTAGGGTCACATATGAGCACACACATTCACACTCGAACGCAGTGTTACAGATGGCTCTGGGGACACACACGCAGTCTCCAGCAGGGGATAGGCAAAGATTTGGCTCTGAGGAAGTCGAGAAATGAGCTGATCTCCAGGCTGGGAAGAGCTCGTGACCAACCGAAGGTGCTGGGCATAGCTGGCTGCCGGTGCACAAACTCAAGTACACATGCACAGACATGAACACATGCAGATGGACAGGTACACGTACAGCTATTCACATACTTGCACACGTGTGCTGGCACACCATGCACTCACATATGAGCACACACGGATCTGCATGCAGGATGGACATGTGCATACAGACCCATACACACACACTTGTGTACCTGGACACACGGTTTATATCAACGCAAACACATTCGCACAGTCGCCCTGCACAGACACTGAGAGCCAAGGAAAGGAATGCACAATGTCATGTGCACAGTCAGGAGCTCACTCCCTCACCCCAACCCAAAGCCCCCAGAAAACAATGAGGGAGAGAGAATCTAATAGAAGTGGTTGAACAGGCCCTGGTCCTTCAGGGGTGCTGAAGTTTGGGGAGTACAGTCCCACAGGCCTGGCCTCCATCTCCTCAGGTGAAGGCTGTAAGGACTCACTCACAGGAGCCTCCAGCTTCTACCTAAAGGTGTGCAGGTATGGGTGGGGGCACAGAGGGGTGGAAGTCAGAGCTGGGCCCCTAAGGATGGATAGGTCACCAGGTGAGATGTGCATGGGTGCCTCACTTCCAACTGGTCTGGTTGAAGAAATCCCAGAAAGCTTCCCCCATCTCCCTGAACATCAGAGCCTCAGACTTTGCCACTAGCACGTCTGCTCCTCCCCAGTTACAAAGTCCATTCCTGAGTTTCACCCCGTGGTCCCTATGGCAGAGTCTGTAACTGGGCCTGGGACAGCTTCTAGAGCTGCCCTGAGTGGAGAGTCAGTGTGCTTCCATCCCCAGACTGGGAAGAGTCAAACCTGCCACCTCAACTTGGCTGAAAGGAAAGGGAAGTCAGGCGCTGACAGCAGATCATTTGCTTCCCAGATCAATGCTCTCTCATGAAGAAGTCCTGTTCCAAATGACAAAAACCCAGTTCAAACAAAAAGGGAAACTTGCTAGCTTGTGTTGACTTCAGGTCTGGCTGGATCCAGGTGCTCAATGACCAGGCACAGTCTCTCCATCCCTTGGTTGTGTCTCTCTGCTGGCTCTGCTCTCTAGAATCTTCTCCCTGTGTGGAGGTGAAGGTGGTGGGGGTGCGGGGGGAAACAGGAATCATTGATAGAGCTGGGGAGAGTGGTTCTTCAGAAAACTTGAAAAGCTATTTCTAAAAGAAGATGGGTGGATGCAGAGAGGGCCACAGGTGTTCCCTACAAATAATGGACACTGCTTTAGTTGTTCTGTAAAGACAAAACTGAGGCTCAGGCCTAAGGGAATTGCTCGACTTTCTCGGCACCCAACAGGAGGCAGGGTCAGGATTTAAACTGAGGCCCCCAGGTCTGCAGAGCCTGTGGATTTTCCTGTGTGCACCAGGCTCCCCTCCTACCTGAATCCATTATGGGAGGTGCCAAGGCCCGGATCCCAGGCAGATGCCGGCAGGCCTGGAGACGATGAAGAAGCTGGTGATGGTCTTCATATCTCATTCATTCACTAGTCCCTGGTCCCCAGATGACTCCCTACCTGCCTATACCAGGGACCACAGGGGTGGCCAAGGGGAGCCCACATCAGGCTGGTTTTGAGAAGCTGGCTGGCTGTGCACACACTGTATTGCCTTTGGGTTGGAGGCCTGTGTTGCGGCTGGGTGGGCACCCAGGAGGAGGGCTCACACAGGGCTTAACCCTTGAGTAATGTGGAAGGAGAGCAGAAACTCCCACACAGAGCCTGGAGGAGGAGAAGGAGGCGGCTACAGTCTCAGGCAAGGGCCATGAGCTCTGCAGCCATTCATGGAGGTGAGAAGTGGACAGACGGGCCAGGGGTCTGGTGTGAGTCTTATTTTCAGGACCAAGTGGAAGTTTATGAAAATCCAGCAAGATCTGGGGACAGATGTGTGGATTTGGGGGTGTGGGAAGCCTAGGCAGGGCTAAGGACACTATGGGGAGGTGGGAGAGGGGTAGGCAGGCCCAGGCAGCCAGGGGCCAGAGATAGTGGGAGACCTCCAGGAAGGGCCCTGGATTCTGTACAAGTCCCTGGAGAGCTTTACTGGCCCCTGCTCCACACCTCCCACACATTTGGCCTTCAAACCTTTGTCAGCTCCTGGTCTGAGTCAACCATGCAGTGATGGATGGGCAACAGTGCCATCTGATGAGGCTGCTCTGCCAGCCTCTGTCCCTGGACGCCTCTGCACAGGCCCTGCCCAGGCAGGAAAGGGCTGTTGCTGCTACCTGCCACTGCCACCGCCAACCTCGTTCTGGCCCTATTCCCAAAGCAGGAGGTGGCTTTGTGGAGCTCAGAGGCCAAAGGGGTCTTTTCACTCCTCTCAGGCCAACTGCAATCTGACCAGACTGGCTACCAGAGAATGAAGGGACCCGGGGCCGTGGGCAGAGGATCAGGAAGTGTTTGCTCCTGGAGGCTGGCTCTCTGGCTGTGCGGGAGCCTGAGACTGGAGCCTGAGACTGGAGCCCGAGCTTGCCTGGAGGAGGAGGGGCCATTTAGAGGAAACCATGGCCCCATTGGCCACTGGACACGGGAGGCCATTTAGAGTCACAGGTCTGTTGGCTGACCCAAGTGGGCCTGGGCCATAGGCTCCACCCAGCAGAATCATGAGCCACATAAAGCAGGCGTTGTTTTAAGCTACAAGGTCTGGGGGTGGTTTGTTACCCAGACAGAGCAAGCTGGCACAGGCTCAGGCAGCGTCCAGCCCACAGGTGTCTGTGTACCTAGGAGTCCCTGTTTCCCACCCCAAGATGCGTCCCTAACACCTAAACTGATGTCTAGAGAAGAGAGGGACAGCTGAAAGTTACCCCTGTGAGATCTGAAGTTGGAAAAAGCCCGGGAAGCCAAAGGCTTCTGAGGAAGTGACAACAGCATGATGGATAGGCTGGACCTGTGACCCCTCACCCCTCCTCTTAGTAGGCCCCTCCCCAAAGGGCTCAGGCCAGGGTGCCCTGTGCGTCCCACCCCTCCTCGCTGATCACACTGCATGAAGCCTCCTGTGCGTTTCCACAGGCTGACCTGGGACTCCTAGAGAGGGCGTCTCCTAGAGCTGTCTGCCTGGCTGTGGTATGCTAAGCCAATAGGACACGCCCAAGCCCCAACCCACCCCTTGAGCTCTGAGTGTAAGAATCTGGGAATGAGCAGGGAAGTTTGCACTGCCAAGCCCGAGTCAAGACTACAGGCTTTCAGCTCCAGATGGCACGGGGACTCCCCAAGGGCTCTATCAGGAAACCCAAGGTCACCAGCAGAGCAGTCAGAGGATCCCAAGCTCCATCCCAAAATTCTCCTGCTGGAATGGAGCAGGCTGAGTGTGGTCAGGGCACCTTGGCTGTGGTACACGGCCAAAGGTCAAGGATTGGAAGGCCAATGTTTGGACACCAACCAAGCAGAGCATATCCCAAACCCACTTTGTCATCTGCTCTCCTCAGTCTCTGCATTCCTTACTTTAGGAGAACCCTCAACACTCAAGTCAGAGACTTCAAAGTCACCTACATCTTCACTCAGTCAGATTCAGTCCTGCCAGTCAGCCCCACTAACCCTCCCTAGGCTTGAGCTGCGCAGGGCCCTCCACACTGGTGATGCTCCCTAGCGCCGAGTCCTGTCTCACTGGCACCACCCTCCACCTGAGAGCCGGAGCAACGTCACTCAGAGACAGTGCCAGCTCAGGCTGGTGCACTCCAGCCCTGCCACGACACCTGCCTGCCTTGCTCACCTTTGCTCTCCTCCACTGCCTGCTGCCCTCATACCTGGGGTCCACTCTGCCGGGTCTCTGGCCTGCCCTGCCCTCGTCTGGTCAGCTTCCGCCCTGGGCGCAGGCAGCACCGCCCCCTCGCCCAGCAGGAAGCTGGCCTGCTCTACCTCTGTGCCATCCCTAGAAAGGCTTACTCCCACTTCCTTCTCATCCCTGCTTCTCCGGTGGCCTGCTACTGCTGCAATGTAACTAGGGGTTCCCAGGCCATCCCCCTTGCCAGGCCAGGGACTCCCCGAGGGGAGCAGCCCATCTTCCTTGGCCCTGCTTCACTGGTGTCCAGCAGAGGGCTGGATGCAGAGTGGGCAGCAGTGACTGGCTGCCAGTGAGTCAACAACGGAAAACAAAGGCGTCTACTTTATTTGTTTTCAGACTGTAGCGTATACTTCGTTTCCTAAACACATGGCAGCCCCGCTCAGGGCCCAGTAGGACGTGGCAGGGCACGGTGGTTGTGGCCTAGGGCTCTGTGGGCTGTGGTCCCATGATTGGTCCCTTCTTCAGGGCTCCAAGTCACTGCCAAGACAGGGAATGATGTCTGCTCCTCAGCCCTACAAAGAGAACAGGTCAGAGTTCAGTCACGGCCCACTCTGCCCATGCCCTCAAGGCTCCATGCAGACTGCCCTGGGACAGCAACCACTTCCTGGGGAGCAGCTGTGAGTCAGTCTCCCTCCTCACCTTGAGACCCAGCACTGAGTCTCTTCACCTCTGTGCCCCAGAGCCCAGCACAGTCCCCAGCAGCTGGAGACAGGCCCTCACTCCACATGATAACGACACCAGCACATGCTCCCATTCCTCAACTCTCCTGGCTCAGAAGGCAGGAGCCCTGCCCCCGTCCGGTGTTTCTGACGAGCACCTTGGGTATAGAACAGTATACAACTCTGCTCTGCCTCACCAAGGCATCCCCTCTGTTCTCTGATTTTTCACAGCTCAGCGGGAGTCTGCTGGGACGCCGGGGTCTGCACAGTCAGGGCCCTGCTATGGAGAGCCCGAAGCCCCTGCCCTCATTTGAGATGCGCTGTACATTCACACACGGGCAGGCGCCAGGCTCTGGGCCTAGGCATCACCTAGCTGCCCAAGGAGCCCCAGGGCAGATGCTAGATCCTGACGGGAGAAGCAGTGCTGCCCCACCCTAGGTCCTTGACCATGTAGGCCTCTGACCCCTGCCACTCAGCCCCTCCCAGAAGCAAATTCCTCTTAGGGACCCTTCACTCCCCACTCTCTGGCTCTGCCAGCAGCTTTCTGAGGTGGAGCCTGGAGAAGGGTGGTGAGAGTTTCTCCAGCACTTGCCACATCTCACATACAGGGTGCCACCTGAGTGCCTGGGTGCCGGGGCTCCGAGGGATTCAGGTTGAACATGCTGTCCCCAAAGGCACACACGCTGCCAAGGCAGCACAAGGGAGCCCGACAGGCCTCTGGTGCTGCCGTCGCTCAGTCTCCGGATTTTGCTAGTCATGTCAGTGGTAGGGCTGGGAGGGAGGGAGCCAGGCCTGGCAGTGTCCCAGAGCCTCTCTCAGGCAACACATTGGAGTTTAATGTAATCTGTCTTCCTTGGTAATCACATTTTTGCCTTGTTGCAAAGAAGATATGTTGGTAAGGTGTGTTTGTTAAAGAAATACTCTTGGGGGTGTTGAGTAAGGGGCTGAAAACTACCACAGAGGTGGAGAGAGGATGGAGTCTAGGGCTAGCCGCTGAAGGATGGGCCCTGCAAAGAAGCCATGAGGCTGCGGCAGATCCCTCAGTAGAGTTAGGTGTGTGATTAACTGGACTTGGAGCTGCCCTTGACAGGGTGTGGGGAAGGATCTGGGGGTTAGTGGGTAGGGAGCTAAGTATCTTGTCGGTGTGAAGGGCCCTGGTCCGGCCCAGCCTACCCAGTGCCCCCACACCTCCTGCCCACGTGGAAGCAGAGCAAGCAGCCTTCCACGGTCTGAGACAGAGGAGGAGGCCGCCTGTCCTACCCAGGGCTTCCCTCTCTTGGAAGGCTGACAGAGGCCCTGCATCCACTCAGCCTGTATGGAGCTACCTCTGGGCTGTGCTCTGGCCATGGTCAGGTGGTGCTGGATGGGGCTGTGACCAGCCCAGGGTGGAACAATCAGCTTGGCAGATGGGTGTCAGTGGGACCTGGCCCAAGGAAGCTCTCATAGGCCCAGGGCTGCAGGACCCCGCTCAGTTCCGTGGGAGAGATTCTCTCTCAGACATGGCTGGAGAGCAGAGGGTGTCTGGCCTCAGCCTTTTCTACCTCAAGTACCTAAAGCAGCCTGTTTCCTACTCAGGCCAAAGAGGCTTTTCTGTGGGAAGAAAGACCTCATCCTACTGCTTCTCCCATACATTTTCACAGACAGGTCCTTAGGCTCCCTCAGGGAGCCTAAGCCAGGTGCCCTGAGAGTGAGTGACGCTCCCCAAAGTGGGAGCCGTCCTGTTGGGGTAGGGCAAGGGTGAGGTGTAACTGGGAAACAGCCTGACGCTGTGGAACCTGGAAGGATTTATCTAGGATAGAGAGGAGCAGCTGGGGTTGGGGGAGGAAGACAGTAGAAGCTGGCTGGGAGCGCACTGCAGGCCCACTGGAGTAGGGGGTGACCAGAGGAGACCTGGGACCACACACCGGGAAGACCGAGCCAGCACGCCCCTTGAGATCAGTGGCAGGGTGGTGGCTGCAGGCAGCTCCTGATGGCCGCACCTGCTCCCACTCCACTTCCAGATGGCCTATCCTTGCTGGGAACCCCACTCAGCACTCGGGCCTCTGCCATGCTCCCACCCCTAAATGCTGAGGGCTAAGAAGGTCCAGCCTAACAGGGCAAACACCACAGGGATCATCTCTCTGGGCCAGATGTGCAAGGCACTCCTGGAAGCAGGCTGGTGTGCACCGGGAGGTGACTGAGGAAAGCGAAGACCCAAGAATACCTCCCTTGGCAAATGCAGAGACCTCCAGGTAGAGCATCTGGCTCTAGCAGGAAAAGGCAGGCAGAGATCTCCAATGCTATATAGAGGTACCTCCTCCACCTCCCACAGCCCCCTGGAAACCCAGGAGGCAGATGAGGCCTTACCTTGTGGGCGGCACTCACGCAGCGCTGGTACGCCTTGACCAGGTCTGAGCACAGAAGCACCTCATGCAGGCGATCTCGGTAGCACTGGAGGATCTGGGCCTGCAGCCCGGAGCAGACGGGCTCCACCCTGCGGGGCCTGCAGAAAACAAAAGCAGACAGGCCTGGGGCTCAGGTGCCAGCAGGCAGGGGAGAGAAACAATTCACATTCACTCCACCTACCTGCCAGGCACCAGGCTAAGCCCCTGACACCCACCAGCATCCTTTTAACCCTCAGAGAGAAGCTCTGTGCTTTCGTATTCTAGAAATGAGAGGACAGCCGCAGGTCAAGCCCTGTGGTCAGTGGCTTAGGTTCACAACACAGCAGACACTGAAACGGGCTGTGGGGCTGGGGCTCCACACTGGGCTCCTTTGCTGGGGCCTGAGCACCTCCAGGAGGCAGGAAAGTCCATGAGGTGACTCCCACTGGAGGGCCCCCAGGAGGATGGTGCAGCCCATCTCCAGGACAGCCATCCCGCTATGCCTGGGACAACCTGCCTTGCTGCGCGGAGGGTAGCCATTCCTGCTGCACCCAGGTCAGCTGCTTTCCTGTGCCTGTGGTTTACCCATGGCTGTAACCATGTAACTTATTTTTTTGCTGATTTAAAACTAATATGTGTGCAAGAAGGAAGATGAAATCTATAGAAATGTCTAAAGAAATGAAAAATATCCTTCTTCTCACTTCTTAGAGGTAACCACAGTAATATTTTAGGGGCAATTTACTATTTTTTTCCTTTCCTTTTCAAAGTAGTTTTAGGACTCACAAAAGTGAATAAGTTCATTTTCTAAAACTGTGGGGAAAAAAAGAGCAAATATAGATGACACTAAAGTCAGTCAGTGGCCCAGCCTCCTGGGTGTAATTTCCGATTGGTTGGTCTCCTTCCACACACACTCAATCTCGCACACTCGCACACTGACACACACAGCAGCACATCTGCACACTGCTGGCCAGGTGCACACACAATCTCACACACTCATACTGACACACACAGACAATAGCACATTTGCACACTCCCTGCCAGCCAAGCACACACTCGATCTCACATACTCGCACAATGACACACACAGCAGCACATTTGTGCACTTCACACTGGCCAGGCACACACACACTCGCACACCAACACACAGCAGCACATTTGCGCACTCCATGCTGGCCAGGTGCTGTCCTCAGGCTGCTGCACGTGCTCAGTGCTGCTCCTCACGGCGCTAGCAACAGATACTATCTTTCACCATGCTATTCCCACAAATGAGAAGCTGAGGCTCAGAGAAGTAAGGCCACGCAGCTGGACAGTGGAGGAGCGGGACACACTTATTTACATGGCTTTAATTGTACTGTTGCTGCCAATTTGTTTTCTTAAGGGAGTTTTAGGCCAGGACCCTTCCCAGCTGTAGATGGACCCACTGCAACACTTGACAGCCTTTCCGAATTCAACACCACTTAGGGCTGAGGGCACCAAAAGGAGCTGTAAAAAGGTAGAAAGCTGTTCCTCAAGTTTCTTAGCAATAGAAAGGATCACTGTCACACATGCCACAGCTGGGCTCCAGGCACATGGGGGAGACGTGCAGGCCAGTCGCTGCCCACCAGGGTCTCTGGAGCTGTTATTGTCTAACAGTAACTTGAACCTGGTTCCTCAGCTAGAAACCACCAGCACAGGATGCTCGACAGCTTGGGAACAGGACCCCGTATTTAACTGTCTGGCTCTGGAAGCTTGGGGGTGGACACTTCTGTACTGCTGACTCTGTACTGCAATGCCATCTGGGCCTGGCCTTCCCTTCTCGTCCGTGCCATCCTCAGGCCACTGTCGGCAGCGCAGCCCTCTTTGCAGCAGAGGTCAAAGGCAGCAGGGAGGAACAGGCCTCTCTGCAGTCTCATCTGACCAGGTGGGACAATCCTCCCCTCAGACCCCACTCCAGGTTTCTCTTCCACTCACTGTCTAGGACCAGGTCACGTACCCATGCCTAACACCATTGCTACCAGGGGCAGTGAGTGTCCCATGTTCAGCTAAGGCCAGCAAGACTCATCCCCAGGGGATGAACAAAATGAGCAGTCTCTAAATTAAAGATGGGGAGGGATGAGTGTGGCGTGGGGGCAGACACCTGTGGCTGCCATGCTGGCCAGGCGCAACCCACTCAATTTCACACACTTGCACGCCTAGGTAAAGGATGTTAAAGGTGAGAGTGCCTTCCCATTCCTGCCGTGGGAGGCCATGGGTGGCCCAGTCCTGGTCTGGGTCCTTGAATTCCATCCTGCCCTTGCCCTTGAGGTCACAATTCTGATGCACGTCTACGCTGCATGTGCCAAGTCTTTGGATCCTCTTATTTCTTGAAGAGGACAGGGCATGGGGGGGGGTCTTTTATCTGTATTGACCTCTTGTTCTTGCATATGCAGTGAAGACGAGCCCCTTGGGTGCAGTTCTCTGCCCGGCTCTGGAGACCTACTTCGCTGGCCTACGTCATCTGTCGCATAGGCAGCTGGGGCAAGAACACAGCTGGGGTGTCTGGGGCAACCCCTGATTCCTCTCCAGGTACTTAAGAACGGCTCTACATTTATATTTAAGAACTGTGACATGGGTGTGTCTAGTTGTTGCTTCTTCCTTGGAGGACAGCTGGCCTCATGGCATTTCATCTCAGGCAAATGCTCCCTGGGACTGCACGTACAGCTTCAGTTGTGTTCTGACACCTGCTTAGGAACACCTTTAAGTCACAGGGCAGATCTTGGCTTTCCGCCTCCATCACAGAAGCCCCCCTCCCTCCTATTCTGCTCGCTGGCTCTCCATCCTTGGAAGGCTGTGCTCTCCCTTCCCCAGGCAGGGTTAAATCTATAGGGCAGTGGGCACCCTCAGTGGCACTGCCAGTCTCCCTGGGGTCTGCTATCCCCTCATATCAGCCTCTTACTGTGTCGTCTGCTCCTCCTGACCGTGCTGACCCTCTAGAGTCTGACACCCCAGAGCATGACTTCCATCACAGCCTCTGCTGCACTCCCCTGAAGTAGGACTCCGCCCTGCCCTCATGGGGCCCTGGTGAGCCTGGTTCATAGCTGCATCGTGGAGGTCAGCAGGCACTAAGGGGACTTGTGTGTCATGGTGAGTGGCTCAGAGGGAGCCCCAGACTCAGTAAAGGCAGGGCTGTCCTAAGCTGTAACTCTGTAAGGCTTACTGATCTATGTGAAAAGAGGTGCCAGGGACAGGTTGGGCAGAGGCTAAGTGGCCTGCTGAGTCATGTGGCCGAGCCTCACGAAGCTGGAGTGCTGACCTGCCATGCCCTGCCCTCTACAGAGGCACAACAGAGACGCTGACACTGGCTTTGCAGGATGGTAATTCGCAGGAAGACACAGCCACATTTGCCTCTCTCCCCATGGCCAGCCTCACTGTGTCCCCTCCTCATTAGTTTCTCCTCCTTTGGTTTCAGGTCCCAGGACAAGGGCTTCTGCGTTTTGAGGGCAAACCTCCCAGTGAGCTCCCAGTTCAGGAGAAACTGGGCCATGGTGAAATCTATCCCCTCCTTGCCAATATTGCCTTTGGGACTGTGGTGGCCTCTCTGTTGGGACTTATCACAACAATATGAGGAGACAGAATGGGAGGCAAATGTCAACTGGAAGAAATTTCACCCACTTGTCCACAAAAAGGCTCTGAATGGGATAAGACAGGGAGAGCATAGCTCTGGAAATGAAAAGCTTTCTCTGAAGGAAGGCAGGGCTAGGCCTTGGGTGAAGCCATTCACAAAAGTAGGTGTACTCTATTCACCCTGAAACCCACCCAGCCCCAGCACACTGCGACCCTGTTTACAATGCATACCAAACAGCTCCCATGTCCAGAAATGTCCAGTCTTGCAAACAGCTGCTCTTCACATGCACAGATAAAGGTATCCAAAGTGTGACATGAAGTTGCCAAGGATAGAAATAAGTCCTGTACCCTTGTTTGAGGACATTATCTTGGAGGATGAAGATCTAATGGTCATGTGGCTTCGAAGTGGTTCACACCACCTGCACTGGTGTATAGGGTATCCATTTTCACAGGCATCAAAGGCAATGCCCGGGAAGTCGACTCGCCTCACTGGCTCTTACATTCCTCATTGGTACAATGCGAACGGTAACACTGCTTACCCCAGAGATGAACAGAAGTGTGTGCTATGAAGTGCAGCCCACATAGCAACCTGGCCATCAGTGTAAGAAACTGAGGTGGGGCCAGGGCCTGCGGTGGGGTGCGCTCGCAGAAAGGCTGGGTTACTGGAGGCCCTTGGCAGAGAAGAACTGAGGATATGCTGGGATGGTGGAACTGTAGACGTACGGCTTGGAGGATGGGACCTTACTTAAGGAGTCCCTCCCTCTACATTGAAACCTAGTTCAGACCTCCTCCAGCTGTCGTGGTGCCTCCTGTGGCATGTTAAGGCATTAGCGTATGTGCATGATCATGGTGTCCCTTCAACAAGCAGCTGGCAGACGCCTGAAGCTGGGGCTCTTGGTCTAGTGGAAAGAACACAGGTTCTGGGGTCAGACAAACCTGGGGCAAGGCACTAGCTTTGTCACTTTGTCTCTTTCCACTGTGTGGTTGGTGCATCAGGTGTGGAGGAGGACCCCATCTCACAGAGCTGTTGAGAGGATGGCAGGTGATGCCCAAGACGGCCTGACCAGAACGTGCTCAGCACCGCAGTGTGGCTCTGAAGAAATCATCAGTGCTGAGTAAATAGGACCACAGAGGACCCCACATCCAGCCTCCTGATGGCCCTGAGAGTGTGATGGCCACAGACAGGGCACATGGTCCTGGTCCCTGACGAGCAGGCCACAGAGGTCCGCCTGACTCCCAGAGTGTCCCCTTGCCCCCAGTCTGCTGAGACCACAGGCAGAGCAGAGTCCAGAGTTCTGACATGGTTCCTTCCCAACCCCTGCGCCTGAGTGAGCCTTTTCCACTGACATTCTCTACTGGGCCTTCTCCATTCCCCTCACTCCACCCCCAAAACACATTCATCTCTCTAAACATGGAAAAGCTTTTCAAATTGAAGCCCCCTTTGCCTCCATGTCAGTCCAAGGCCACAGCGGCTTCTCCTTCCTCAGAGAAGTGCTGGCTAGAGCTCCTCCTACCCCACTCCCCTGGGACCCATGCC